ACTCTCTGATTGCTTGGAGGGGGTATCTGAGCTTGAAAAAGATCTCACTTTTAGACAAGGTGCAAAAACGAATTGTAAACATAGTTGGACCTGCTCTGGCAGCCAATCTCCAACCTTTGTCACATCGTCGTAATGTTGCTTCTCTTTCTCTTTTCTACAAATACTATAATGGGCACTGCTCTAAAGAGCTAGCGTCCCTTGTGCCATCTACTAAAATTCATTCTCGTGTTACTCGCCATTCAATTAAGTCTCATCCTTTTTCTGTGACTGTTCCTAAGTGCTTCAAAAACTCTTATTCTTCTAGTTTTTTTCCTCGAACATCAGTTCTTTGGAATTCGCTTCCTTCATCTTGCTTTCTTGATTCATATAATTTGCAATCTTTTAAGTCATCAGTCAATCGTTATCTTGCTTTACAGATTTAGTCTTTTCTCTTCCAGTAACTTCCAACTCTTATAGTGGTTGCTTGCAGCCTTGTTGGAAGTGAAGATGTTAAAAAAAAAAAAAAAAAAAAAAAAAAAAAGACACCATTTTTAAATGCAAATTTTGATCATGTATTAGAGAGACAATTGATGAATCTATTTTTTTTCAGTAGACCTAAGATGAAATAATGATATACAATTAAAATTTTTACTCTGGATTTTGGGCCACAGCCTTTATTTTACCTTCCAAAATCACTAATTTACAAGTCAATAATTTTGAACAAAATTGGATAAATGAGGCATTTTTTGAGATAATCGAGTCTTAAGAGTGCTATTTTTGGATTCCTCAAGTTAAAATCTATTAGAGTACCAAATTTTAGGAAATTTCCCCAAGCCATTATGAAGATACTATATGTCAAAGTTGCTTTGTAGTCGCTTCAGAAAATCACTAAAATGCTGAGTCAGCATTATTTCAAGTGACAATATCTATAGAACCCATTGGTATTTTTAACTAAAATTTTCACAGTTATTATTTTTTTGATATGGACTGCAAGTGGTGTAAAAATAAACAAATTCTGAGACGTAAGGGTGTCTAAAATTATTTTTTTTGGATGATTTCATATATTTTTACCCAAATGTTATTTTAATAGAAGAAAAAAAATACCCAAGCCATTAATAGACTAGACAAATATACACATACACATATATTATATGTATATATATATATATATATATATATATATATATATATATATATATATATATATATATATATATACATATATCACGGCCTATTCTAGGAAAAAAACTTGGGCAGCGGTACCCCCTCATTCTGGATATTAAATGAAATAAAAATAAATACGGATAATAAATAAAATAAAAATAATATCCGGAAAAAAACAAAATAAACATGATCAATAAGTAACACTTCAAAAGCCTTACTTATATTTATTTTATTTTTAAAAACTTAACTAATATAAGGGCTAATACAAATCATCACTAACTAATTCAAATCAAATATAAATGAAAATAAAATACTTTAATGTACTTAAAAATAAAACAAAGTAGAAAAGTTTTTTGTTTAACTATAATTTTCATTTTATCAAAAAATTACAGGTAAACTGAATTACTTACTGCAGTGCACTTATTTTTTTTTATAATTTACTATTTAAACCAGATATTTTTATAATAGAAAAAACTATTCAGATTCGTGATGTTAATATTAAAATTTCAAACAAAAAAAAATTTTTAAAGTTGCATTACTCACATCTACCAGCTTTGTATAACTGATAGGCTTTTTAAACACTAAAGAAGCATGAACAAATTTAAAGCTAAAACCAGAAAATTGCATAAAATACTCAACATTCTTTGCTTTCTATAGAATTGGGCAACAGATAAAATTGCCATTACTTTTAGTTATAAAAGATGTAACAAGATAAAACTTAACATTTTACATGCTAGAAAGTCTAGTGAAAAAAATCACTTTCAATAATTTTTATTTAAAATCAAAAATGTAATGTCTTCAAACTTACAGAAAATGCTCATTAATATAACATCAATATTAATTACAAACAATAAATATAATGCTGAAATGCATAGCCTAATTTTGAAATGATTTGAGACAGTTACATGAGGTAAGTAAAAATATAGTCTCTCAAATTGTTCTTATGGTTAAAATTATATTATATATATACAATTTAAAAGTTTTGTCTTCAATAAATAGATTTTATCAAGAATAGTTTTTGTAACTAATTGATATTTTTCCCTCCCAAATTCTCGAGATAAGCCCAGTTTTATACTCTCGTTACTAGGCTAGCGAGCATTGCTTATCATGCCAAGAAGGGTAATGCTGCAGAATAGAGACGTTAAATCATTTTGCTTTTTAAAATCTGCAATGGAGTTTTAACAAAAGTAAAAAGTAAGAAAAATTTAATTATTTAATTAATTTAATTAATTATAGCATGTTTCATTTCTCTTATCAAAAGGATAAACAGATTTAATATAAAAAAAAAATTTAACATATTTTTATATTTTTTAACATATTCATACTTTTTGTGCTTATTTAGTAGTTATATATTTATTTATTTTAATTTAGTAGTTATATCTATTATTTTTATTTTTAAAAATCAAATATTTTAGATGGCTTTATTAATCAAATATCTTAGAAGACCAAGTGGTTCAAAAAATATTGTTCCAGAAGTAGAAATACTAAATGAGGCAGCGATATTAACAAAAAATTGGTGTTTGTTTGAACTTGGGTCTTGTTTAGATCAACCCATGTCTACACTACGAAGGTTAGCTCAGCAAAAGCTTTTTTAAAAACTTTTTTTTTTGTAATCCTTGTAATCTACATTTTATATTAAATGCTTACAAAGGAACAGTGAATGGTTACTGCTGGTAATGTAAAGAATGCAAGCGGCACCAAAGTGTTTGTGATGAATCATTCTTTACCAGAAGTAAATTGTCTTTTAAGCAAATTATAATCTTTATTTATTGTTAGAACAGGGATATGCAACTAAAAGACATAGAGCATGAAGACCGCTTGAGTAGTGTCAACCACACACTTGTAAATTGGGGTAACTTCTGTTGAGATGTATGCAAAGTAAAGATTGAAACTAATCCTAATGTTGTTGGTGGCATAAATAACAATAGTACTCCAATTGTTATGGAAATAGATGAATCTAAATTTTTCCATCGAAAGTATCATTGCGGACAATGGCGCCCTGGTCATTGGGTATTTGGTGGAATAGAAAGTAATTCAGGTAAATGTTTTTTAGTAGAAGTTTTCGATTGCACTGCAGAAACACTTTAGGATATGATTTTACATTATATTTTACCTGGAACTCATATTGTTTCCGATAGTTGGGCTTCATATGGGGGAATTGAAAACATCCAAAACGGTATTTATTCACATGCTGTTGTTGTTCATGAACGCAATTTCGTTGATCCCCTGGATGACGAAGTTCATACTCAAAATGTAGAAAATCTGCGGATGTGTGCAAAACGCAAATTGCGACGACAGTTTTGGACATCATTACATCTTATCTTCATGAGTTTGTTTGGCGTCAACGTCTTAAAAACTTCCCTTTTTTTTCAGCATTTATTTCTTTTATTTCACGTCAATATTCTGCTTAAACTGTAACGTAAACGGTTATTTTCATAGCCACATATTTTTAAAAAACATATTAGCATGAATAACAGTTTTAACAAAACTATATTTTTTATAATTGAAATAAATAATTTATTTCAATAATTGTATTTAATAAAAAAAATGAAAAATTTAAAAAAACATAAAATGAAAAATTAAAAAAAATTTTTTTAAACCAAAAACTATTTTAATAACTACTTTGAAATTTATTTACTTTACTACTTTATTACTACTAAATTTATGAATTTTCCATTTTATCCATTCATTCAGTAGAGTTTTTTAAGTATCTACAAATGAGAGCGCAAAAAGCTAAAAGATAATTTTGTTTAATGTCTCTATTCTGCAACATTACTTCAAAGACTATTTATATTTCATTTGAATGCTTTACATGCACAGAACAATCACTCCCTATTTATAATAAGGCCTGATATAAATACATATATAACTATATACATATATAAATATATAACTACATTTGTAGTAATTATATACATTGTACACAGATGTTATTAGACATCAATAAAATTTCAAATGTTGTTGGACAGATGTTATTATACCTCAGTGTATATACAGATGTTGTTGAATAGATGTAGTTATGCATCATTATATTTACAGTTGTTGTTGGACATGTTATTAGACATAGCAAAAACTGATGTTGTTACCCTGATCCAATTAAATGTTCATCAGTAAATTTAAAACTTTTTTAAACTTCTTAATGTTAAGAAATAGAATTTTTCTCTTTTTAAAAGTTTAATGTTTGTGTTTCCACATTTTTGGGTTAGGATGAGTTTCTATTATACCAATTTATTATTTATATACGCCATTATAGAAGAGTTAAAACAATTACTACAACAGAATGCCTTTTCTGGTGTTAACATGTTTTACAGATTAAGACTGAGTATTTTTATTGAAATACTACCACTACGAAGATCACTACCCAAGATTTACAAGCTCCTTCTATTTTTACCACAATTAAATTGGAAGTTTTATATCAGAGTTTACCTTCACCCACTTTTAAAGTAATTAAAAGACTTCACCTGCCTAAAAACATTGTAAAACTTAACTTGACCTTGTAAAACACTTTTGGTGTTTTACAAGGTCAAGTTAAGTTTTCCAATGTGTATATATAAGTTATTAAAGATTTGATGACTACCAAATCTTTAATAACTTATTTAGACTTGTAAAAACCTGTGGTTACATTTACTAGGAACATACACTGTCTCAAATACCAAAAAAAATGTAAATCTCTAATTATTTATTTTTTTCAAAAAAAAAAGCTTATTGAAAAACAAAAAATTTTGACATCATCAAAGATGCATTTTTTTTTTCCTGCCTAGAGGAAACATTACATTAGAAAATTTGTGTATAAAAAATTACACACAATGCATTTTGATAATAATAATAATTACACTTTAATATAAATAATAAATTACCTGAGGATGCAATAGATGTTAAAAAACGCAAAGCTTTTTCTCTTACTAAATCATCTCCAACAGATATCTGAGAAAAAATTCCTTCTATAGCAGCTTGAGAATCCTTTGAAATTAATATTTTAAGACCGTCTTGTACTATTGTAACTTCTGTTGCGTCTTCTTGCTGCAAAAGTTGAGTAAGAATATCACTTATTTTAAGGATATGTTCTGGAGCAGTTTTACAAAAATCTGGTAATGACTTGATTGCTAGACGCCTGATTGGAGTTTCCTCATCCTCACATAAATCAAGCTGAGCATCAATAGCCTGTTCCGAAAGTTCAGGGAAATACTTAAAAAAACGGGGTATAAATTGGCAGGCAAGTCTTTTTTCTGCAGTGGTCCCTTTAGTTGCTTTGAGAATAAATTGATAACAACTCAAATGTTCTGATGCTTTTTCCCCAGCATCGGCAAGAATTCCATAATTTTTATACAACTCTTCAACGTTATCCATTTATAATATTAACAACTGAATTAAAAAAAACAATTAACATAATTAAAAACTCTTTAGAAAAATCACACACATGTACACATGCACATTTTGTGTTATTAATATAATGTCATTAATGCACAATACCATTAAGCGCGCTGAATTTAATCATATTTATTACCATGTTGCCGACCGTTTTTTAATAAATGGCCGGCAAAGTTCTTCGCGTTTCAGTACTTAATTCCTGTATTTGAGCGGACCAGCTTAAATTCTTCAGCAAGAAAAAAAAAAGTTACACGTGCAACAAGTATACCCCGAAAAAAGACTCGTCATATTTAAAGCTTTATTTGAATAAAAAAATGATTAAATCCTCTGAATGAATTACACCACAATTCTTGCTTTTTTCCAGACCAATATCTATTTGCAATTGATTTTTAAATAAAATTTTGTGACATCATTAACTAGATTAAGAACTTATTTCATAACTGAAAATACTTTTTCTTAATTATAAATAAAACTCAGAAAAGTTATATATGTTTTTTATTTATTTATTAATGTTCATTTTTTTTTTATCCCCATAGACTTTTTTTAAAAAAATATATAAAAATTTTTTGTTGATTTTTGAAAAGATTTGAGATTAATTTTGAAAAGATTTGACAAGATTTAAATGAACTTGCGTCCTTTTCGAAATGACAGGTTCAATTAATGGGGTGGGAATAAACACTACACGTTTAAAAGCTTTTTTAAAAAAAGAAGTTTTATTTTAAATTTTATCGATCCTTTTAACTTCAAGATATTAATTTTTCAATAGTTTAGTTAAAATACTTTTAACATTAAATTTACGCAAGAAAAAGTTTCAATAAAATTATAGATTTTATCTGAAGCCTGAAACAATCATTATGGAAAATTTGTAGCATGTAATATTAACTAAACTTTTGGAAGTAAGCATCATTTTTTGCCATTGATTTAGCTAGCAAATTCCTAAACACACAATTATTCAGCAATTAACTGCAACTTTAATAATTAAGGTTAAATTTAAGTTTAATCAAAATTAAAATTATCCTAAAATCAATTTTTTTTTGTGATAAGTCCACTTTATTGCTGCATCCGTTTCATGGAATATTTCCTTCATTTATTGTATAAATTAGACAATGTCAGGCAAAAGAAAAAATAAATAAAAATTTCGTAAAAGCTCGAAAAAGTCTTATACAAAAATGATTTTGCGAAAATTAAATTTACACGTAAACAAACCCCATCTGGGTGGCACTGGTTCATCTAATGGTGAAACTGGTTCATCTAATGGGTGGCACTGGTTCATCTAATGGGTGGCACTGGTTCATCTAATACTGCACGTTAAACTTTTTCTGATCCAAAATTGTTATCAGAAATTTTGGACATAGATATAAATATATCTATATCCAAAATTATTTATTTATTTAAAAACGATATTTATATCTATGTCCTACCAAATTCCAATTTATTCAATCAAATTCGAAAATTATTGTCTACAAACAGTTTTAATCATTAATGAGACAAATTCATGGTATGAAATTCCTATCATTTTTGCCCAAAAATTCAGTTGAAATTTTGGGCAAAAATGCAGGAGAAGGTTTTCACAAATGTCACAGAAAAGATCGTTTGCACGATCATGATCGTTTGCACGATCATGCACGAAAGATCGTTTGGATCATGCACGGAAAAACCTCAAGAGTTAACAACTTAACTGATGTTTTTTGTCGAGGTTTCGAAACATCAGATTTCTATATTTCCGTTATTATCTATCAAAAAAAAAAAAATTATTTTTGATTTTATTTTTAATCTAGTAGTTTTATTTTATTTATGTTAAGGAATAAATTTAAAAATAGAATTTGAGAATAATTTTTAGCACTGACTAAAAATGACTGTCATATTTTATGTAAAAAAAAGTTAAAAAAAAAACAAACAATTTAAGTAGAAACAGTTTTAAATTGAAAATATTTGTTCTAAGGCGGGTCCGGGCGGCATCAAAACCTTTATTAAATTAAAAGAAGAAGGGTTTAAGTTTATCCCTACGTATTCACATTCTTACAAAAACATACAGAATTTAATAAAAGTCACATTCAAATATGCTATTATTTCCTAGTCTAAAAATCTTTTCCTGCATTTTTACGGCATGAAATGTAATTTTATAAAATATTTTACATTCAACTCTGAAAGCCTGTTTAATATTCTTCCACTTGATATACAATTTCACAGATGTGGTTCTTTAAGAATCAAAACAAAAGCTTTTTATTATATTGCTTTTTCACTAAAAAAATGTTCTTTCAGTCTATGCATAACAGAACTTTTTATATCGAATTTTCGCAAACCTGAAGTTATGCCGCTTTTTTTATTTTTTCAAACCTTTGGGCTTTGACGTAAGTGTTGACACTTACGTGAACGATACATTTAGTCTTTTGTTATAAAAAAAGCCAAAGAGCACGTGATCAGATTGGTAGTTAGTAATGCGCAACAACAATAAAGGAAGTGTAAATAAATTGTGGAAAATAAAAAACGAAATCGATTATTTTTACTTCTAACTTTACTCAACGTTAACTGTTTAGCAGCCATGATATAATGGTTAGAGTTTTGCTTCAGAACTCGTCCGTAGTTTAAAGCCGGATCAAGTCATAAAATTAAACCAGAAAGTAAACAGCGGAATCGAATGAAACATTAAATTAAACCGCCAAGTGTTTTCATGGCGCCCGGGGCATAACAGCAATTAAGCGCCCCTATAAGCATGCATACTTTAAATAAAAAAAATTTTCATTACCGGTTTTTACATCCATTTAAAACAATCATGACAATCATTTAAAACAACCTTAAAACACCGCGACAATCAATTAAAACAATGTGATTTTCAATTAAAACAATCGTAAAACATTTAACGCATGCGCAATCTCAGCATTCTATATTATTTAAAAAAAAAAGGTTTTCTTTATATATTTATTTATCTAATATTATATAAATTTATTTTTATTAATATTATATTAATTTATTTCAATTTGATGGAACTTATTTCAAGTTTAAATGGATGTCATATTTGCTTTAAATCGAAAAACCATATTTTTTTACATATATTTTATTCGCATGCTGTATTGGCAATACAACCATGATATTCAAATAAAACATGCATGATGATAATTAAAACAACCATGATTTCCTACGAAAACATTTAGCGCATGAGGATATTAGATTTTCATTAAAACATGCAGCAAAATTCTGTTTGCCAAAATACGCGAAAATTTGTTTTGAGAATGGCCGTTGATCAAAGAAAAATCAAGTAAAAACTTAATCTGAAGCTTCATCGTTAACAGGAGTTAATCGAAATACATTACAATCAATTTTAAGAAGGTACGATCGAACGAATTCAACACTTGCTGATTCTAGAGGTGCCACTCGTCACGTTATTAATAATGAAGAGATTAGAAAAAGAATTGAAGAATTTATAAACGATAATACAACGACAACTATAATTGAAATTAAATATGCTTTAAATGCAAATGTATCGATTAAAACTGTCTGGAGATAGGTGACCAATCTTGGATACACATATAAAATTACTCGACCAATTTATGAAAGAAGAAACAACAATGATGTAAAAAATCTTTGTATTGAATATGTTAGGTGGTATACTTCAATCTCGCCTATTAATCGCTATCGAAATATTGTTTTTATTGATGAAAATCCATTTAATTTACACATGTTTTGCAATCATTTTATGGGCAAGAAGAGGAGTACCACCAAACCCGATCATTCGCCCTAGACAACGTAACGTTTCGATGATATTGGCCGTCAATGGTTTGAATATTATTCACTGCGAAGCTGTCAGTGTGTCAGTCAACACACTGACAGCTTCGCAGTTAATAATATTTTTCTATCTAAAGAATAACATGCGACCCCAGCTGGAAGAAATGAACTCATTTCAAGAATGCGTGAGGCATGCTTATCTATTCCTATATATGTTATATGTTATATATGTTAACTTATCATATATGTTAACTTATATATAAACTTATATATGTTAACTTATATATAAACATATATGTTAACTTATATATATAACTTATCAAACTATTACACAAACTGCGAAAGCTTTTTCGAAGCGTGTCTTAGGTCAGATGACATACCTCGACAGTAATTGAAAAATAAACATTATATTTTAAATAAAATAAAGTTTTAAATAATTTAAAAAATCGAATAAAAAAAATAAAAATATATAAAGAAAACCTTTTTTTTAATAATATAGAATGTTGAGATTGCGCATGCGTTAAATGTTTTACGATTATTTTAATTGAATGTCAATATCAACCATGATATTATTAATTAATTTTTGCAACAACCAACGTCGAAAAGTGCATTAATTTGTACTTCTTAACGTTGAAATTTACAATTCAGTTGTGCGACCCATTTTCCCGTGCTGCCAGTGTCTACTTGCAGTTTTTCATATTCAGAGGAAAATTCATTGTCATTAATAACTCATATGATCTGCCGTCATCGGCGTATAATTTGGTATGGTTATAAATACAGTCTGGCGAGCCATTGATAAAGAAAAAGGGGATACCTTTATTAAAAATAAGTACAAAAAAAAAACCCTGACTAAAGGTAACTTTGAATGATAAAGTTCGTTAACTACTGAAAGATTTCTAAAGAAGTTTATTAATTTTGATTTACTTGTTTTTTAGTTTGTGGGAGGGGCGCATCTTGACCATCAATAAAGGAGGAGGGGACAATTTAAAATTTTTATTGATTTGGTTTTATTGATTCCCTTTGAGAAATTTTATTCAAATTTCTTCCATAGGCGAGGAGGGGGGAGTTTTTTACTGTTTCAATCAATGAAACTATGAAATTACGTTAAATAATGATATCTCATCAGTCAGATTTTTTTTTGCACTTGTACACAAACTTATTAAAATTTGTAATCACATTTAAACAGCCTCCCTAATTTACTTTCGTTTTCAAACAATTACTTAGTCAAAAATATAATTTTACAAAAACAAATTCTTTTGAAAATATTTAAGGAGTAAAGGAGAGGGAAGGGGGGAGGTAGCGATTACCCTCC